AGGACGGGTGAGGTTAAGGAGGGGGATGAGGAGGCGAGGAAGAGGAGGGAGTTGTGAGGGGGGTGGGGGAGGGGGTGTTGTTTTGTGAGTCTGTATACCCTTGATCTGGAGAGAATGGATACATGACCCTTCTCAGGCTCTTGATTTGACGATACTTCTCTTTTCGAGAGGATCTGATTGTATGGGTACATATGGATTTCGGAAGTTGTGAGTCGCTTGTTGCGATGGGTCATCATAACCTATCTCAGTAAGAGTCAAGCATATCGAAGCTCCCAAATAGGTCACATACGAGGCGCCTGTTTCGAAGTTTGGTATACAGCTTACATTGCATGCCCGTGCGGCGTTCATTCTCTAGCAGGTTAGCTTAACAGGGCCAGACCGGTAAGGACTACTTGGCGCATACTGGCCCCCAACAGTGAACGCCATCCCGTCTGCCAATCTAAAATCCATGTCGTTCTTCTAAATCGGGGACAAGCAGTCGTTATGGCCCCTGCATGGTTAGTTTTCCCGCCACTGCTTACTTCCCGAGGTTTCAGCCATTTCCATGTCCACTTCTTCTACTCCCGAACTACACCATCATTGCTTTGACGAATGTGCTGGTACAACAACGCAGGCACAAGAACCAAATCGTCATGGCATTTCGCCTTCCCGTTCCCGCTCGTATGTGGCTCGCAGCAGTCTGGTTAGGGTGCTCTTTGGGTCAGGCAGCCTCTGTGGCGCCGCTGGTCGTTGCGCCTAGCGGACACTGGTAATTCTTCATGATCATGAGTTTGAAGTTTGACTAATCATCGAACAGGGACGGCGCAGACGGTCCGTGGTCAACCTTTGACCTCTCTGTGGGTAATCCAGTTCAGTCTTTTCGGTGCATCGCTGGCATTACCTCTACGGTTGTCATTGTGCCAAATGAGAGCGAATGGTGCAACGATACATGCGCTTTCTTTTACGGCGGTTCGTCAAAGACTTGGGAATTTACACCTAGCCATCTCTTACCGTTGGCAATCGAGGAATACATCAGCAGCTACTCCGATGTTAGCGAAGACAATGCAACGCACGTACCTACCTTTGGCGTCGACGATATATACCTCGGAAAGTCTGCGCAAGGCCGCAAAATCTCCTCACAGTACGTTGCTGAAACTGATCGGAAGCGGTTCCGACTTGGGACTCTAGGTCTCGTTCCAGGATCGGTCGGGCCCCCAGGAGCACAACATCCTTCACTCCTCTCGTCGCTCTGGGAGTCAGGTGTCATTCCTAGTTTGAGCATTGGCTACACAGCGGGCTCTGTCAATCGTAAGTAGAACCAGACTGGGCGGATACATGGTTTGTAACTAAATTGTTTCTGGTAGGCAACAGCTCAGCTAGTCTGGTCCTCGGCGGATACGATGCTGCACGATTCGATCCTGCAACGACTACCACAATGGGTTTCTCTATCGATCAAAATTGGTCATTCGGTATAACTTTGGATGCAATTAGTATAACTGGGGGCGCCTCGTGGGAGCCGGATAAAGGAAACCTTTCTCGCCCACCTGTTTTTACAATCGACTCCGATGTTCCACATATCTGGCTACCGCAAGAAGGCTGTCAACTATTCGAAGCAGCTTTCGGACTGATCTGGGACGACTCTTTGGAACTGTATCTCGTCAACGACACGACGCATGCACGACTGTTAAGCGATAATCCTGAAGTAAAGTTCTCAACAGGGGTCTCAAGTCTGGAACAGCTAGTAAACTACACACTTCCCTACTCTGCGTTCGATCTCCAGCTTACCTCCCCTTTCGTGGACGACTCTACTCACTACTTCCCATTGAAAAGGGCTTCGAGCCCCGCAGAGTATATGCTCGGTCGGACTTTCCTGCAAGAAACCTACATATCTGTGGACTACGAACGCTTGATCTTCAATCTAAGTCAAGCGTCTCATGGTAATAGCGCCGCGAACATCGTACCTATACCTTCACAGATGGAACCCACCCAAACACCGGATCCGCCTCCACCTTCAGCTACAAATAGCTCAAAAGGCCTTTCGTCAGCTGCGTATGCTGGGATTGGTGTAGGTGCAGGCATGGCGGGGCTTGCAGCACTGTGCCTAATCATTGTCTGGAAGAGGCGCTTGGGTCCTTTTCGACGCAACACCTCGAACGGAGGCAGCCAGAGCGACTACAAAAAAGCCGAATTGCATGGCGAGCACAAGCTGGGAGTTGAGGCTATGGAAAAAGAGAGGTTCGAATTAGATGCTGGTTCAGGGAAGCACGAGGCAATGGACAGAGAAGCATCTGAGCTCCAGACGGTGGAGAATGCACGCGAACTGAAGGGCTCAGGTGAAGTGGGCGTTGTGGAAGTTCAGGGCAGTGATCTGATGTATGAGCTACCTGGCCATACTGATGTTATACGAGCAACGAGCGAGGGGACTCGCACTTCTTCTTAGATATGGGTTTTAGATGACAGTGCTATAATATATCATTAAAAGAAGGATGTTTGGAAAACATACCGTGATTTCGCACATGCTCACGATCGACATTTTCTTGCACCTAGATCGGTTAGCGCTAGACAAGCTTTTCACACGGGCGTTGGCGTCGTCAACGCTTTGTGCATCGTCCGTTCAACCCATGCCTCGATGTCATCTATACCCACACGACGCATTCCAGAAGCGCCACAAGGTTGATCCGCAGCGACCCCACGAGCGATGACATTCGTTATACGACACTCATTCACACAGCAAATCAACCTCATGTCAATGGAGCTGTGTTGACCCCTCAATCATTAATATAACCGTACACTGTGTATCTTATACAACGACCCAACTAGCAATCTAAGCGCTGTTGACATGACAAAATGCATCATCACCCTCCTAAGCGTCATCGACATCCATTTCATCGCCCCAATCCTCCTCGTTAGCATCACCACCATCCGTCGTCTCACTCCCATCCTGGACATCGCCCTCGTTCGCCGTCTCCGCTACAGGATTTTCGTTCCTCGTAATGAGATAATCGGCACTCCGCTCGTAATCTTCTTCCCACGTTTCCAAAAGGTTGTTTCCACCGCCGACGAAATAAAGGTATCCAACTTCGCCTGCTACTTTCCGGACTTGTCGCTCCCATTCCTCGCGCTCTTCCTTTTCTTTCAGCGTTTCCTCAAAGCCGGGCTCGACTTCCACGTCGTCCGTCGTCTCCGAGTAAGACAGTGAGCTGCGCGGCGGTCTTGGGCGCACTGTATTACCGCGCGCGCGCCGCTCCGCCGAACGCACCATTTCTCTGTTATTTTGGTGGGTAAGGCGACTAAAGTAGCCGGATATCGGGTAGTCCCAGAAGTCTTTGTTGATGGGCATGTCGCCCAAGCCGTGCTTGCGACGTAGCGCCGCCTCGGTCTTGTCTCGGGCTTCCCAGGCCCGTCGCAAGTTGGCGTCCGAGTGCAGTTCTTTGCGCTTGTCTGCGATTATCTGGCGCAGTATGGGGTTGCCTCTGTGTGCTTGCGGGGGTGTAGCATGTTGGCTGCGCGAGCGTGGTGGTGTCTGGCGCACGAGTATGTGTGAGGTGGCAAGAGCGCTTGGTTTCTCCCACCAAGCCTCGTACTTTGTGGGTTGCGCCTCAGGCATAGTTGTGGGGTAAGATGATACCAAGGAGTCACAGACGGGGCACAACGAGGGTGATTTGTTGGGTAAGACTGCTGCCTGGATGTTGTTGGGGTTGAACTGGGTGTGAGCGTCGTCCCACGCTCGCTCGCGCTCCCAGCGCAGCTGCTCTTCTTTGCGTGTCTTCTCGAGTCGCTGCTTCGCTATCAGGTACCCGTTTCTTGCCCTGTTCCACCGTCGGTCGCGCATGTACACTGGAGGTCTTAATCCGCCTTCGGCTACCAGCTTCTTGAGTGCAACGTCGGACTTTGCTCTAGCCTGCGAATCTGTGCATTTGGAACACCACGGTGTATGTTGTGGATTGGAGGGGTGGAGTCCATGGTGACATCGAGTCGCAGTCCGTATCTCGTGACCATAAGGTGAGTGAGCAAACGGCTGTTTCTTGCTAGGTGAGAACAGCAACGTGTCGTCTGGGGTGAACATCATCGGCATGGTGAGTATGATGGTCTGGCTGGTGTATTTGTTGATTTATGCTGGTGAAGCTAGTGTGCATTATTGTGGTGGAAAAAGATGGGGTCGCGTGCTGTGGTTTACCACAGATTAGCGAGCGCGGTCGTATTGTGAGCTGGGGCTGTGAACCTGCGAAAAAAAATTAGAAGCTCTGACTTTGAATGTAGCAGGCGCAAAGGGGCGTGTTGTGCGAGGGTTTTAAACATAGGTTGCACTCCAGCCTATTCAATGAGGCGCGTCAGGGCGTCATCGTGCGAGCTTCTGATTGGCGTGCTGCCCTAGAAGTCTCACGCGAGCAGTCATCAAGACCGTCCGTGCGCCAATTAGTCTACGATCACCCACACGCTGACTGGCTTCGTGGGGGCGTCAAACCTCATAAACAGCGCGGGAGCCGATGCTAGAGCACTTCGCATATGCCGTAGGAATTCAGAGCCATGTTTTGCCACCTGTACCACAGCCTACACCATGTATCGTCACCATGGGCCAGGGTGTGTACCTTCACCTTCGCATCAGGCGCTACCTAGGTAGCCTGGCAAGCCACACCATGTGGCGCTCGATACTCACCTTCACTTGCGCAGCTTGATGTAGAAATTATGAACTCAGTCCAAGCCAGTCTCGCCTGGTCAACCTAACGACATCATCTACACTCATTTCCTCTCCTACCTGTGCTACAATATCTACGACAGTCTTAACTCAGTCGCTCATTGCAGAAGTTGTATTACATATATATCGCTATTCACTGCGACGCACCAAGCTGAGTTTGCTGCTCAAGTCGCGCCCGTAAACGAAGGTGACGGACGATCGAAATCGCAAGTCACCGCAGCATTCACTGTAGCATCTGGGCTCAAGGATTTATGCCCAAGCACTGCCATCTTACGCTCATATAAGATTCTCTCTTTTGATAGTTCTTCTGTATCACAGAGACGACATGGAGCAGAAACAGCCGAGAGCCTCGCGAAGGTCTGTCTCGTTCAACCCAGAAGCACCAACTTTCAGTCCAACTGCAGCCGAGACCAGCATGTCTACCGGTATTGCAGGCCCGACTCCGCCTACCAGCCCGCGACAGAAGTCGAAGATGCGAGACGTGTTTGATGGTAAGTCTTCTCTCTCGCGAACACCTCTAGCAAGACTGACTGGATTGCAGAAGACTCGCCTTTCCGGCCTACTAGGGACCTGCGACCCAACTACCAGGGCTACGAAGAGCTCAAGTTCGGAGAGTCCTCGCGGAAGCCACTCAAGCAACAGGACATGCCGTTGGATTCTCTTCAGGAGATGCTACAAGGTAACGTCAATCTTGTCACAATGCGAAGATCGAAGCTGACTTATCTAGACCACCACATCACTGTGAACCGTGAACGCCCTGGTGCAATCTCTCGCCGTAACCTCACAGGAAACTCTATCAACAGTCCGCGTGGTCTCCTCCCTGGTCAGCGGCTCAACCCCGACTCCAAGGCGCCAGACGTCGGAGAGCTGAGTGCGGGCCTCAGTCCCCCTGGTATCAAGAACGAGACGACTAACGTCGACTCCTCAGCACGCTTCCTCCAGTCTCACCGTTCTGAAGGCCTTTCAGAAGGCGTATTGGGTAAGCTCATAGGACGGGCGCTGGACAAGCCGTTAACCGCGATTGACCTAGCCCACTACCTCAAAGGCAAGGACGCATCCCAGGACGACGCCGCTAAGCCACCTCTGCGTCGCAAGAGCTACATTCAAGATCGCTATCCAGAGCGTGCGGATGAGGAGCGCCAGTCTACCAAAGTTGTTCCCGCGCCTCCAGGCTTCATGGGCGAACGTCCTCGTAGGATCTTCGCGGAGGAGCGTAGCTCTATCAACCCAGTGGTCATGCAGGCACCATTACAGCAAGTACCTACAGGCCCTGCGGGATTCGGACAGCCTCGTCGCTTCAGCAACCTCCAGACCCCCAACTGGCCGTCTCGCCGTGATCATGTACCTGAGCTTTCTAGTCCAGGAGATTACCGCCCACGTCCACGAGCGCTGACCCGTACCAAGCGCACTGATCAAGGTCCCGAGCCTTCGCACGCCGACATCTACCCCGACGATGCGAACTTCATGCCGCGCCGCCCGTCCTACCAAGCAGAGCCTACAGAGAGGTTCCAAGGTTTCATGCCGGCGCCGCTTCCCGAGCGTCCGTTCCATGCAGAGAACACTGTAGTCTGGCCCACTCCCGCAGAAATGCATGCACAGAAGCCTAACAACCAACAGAGACGCAGCGGCTTCCCTCGCCATGTCCCAGCATTTGAGAGCCCCGCGCCCGTAGTACGCTGGTCCCCACCAGAACCTTCTTCCATGGCTCACTACATGCAGCAGTTCGGAGAGCCCTCCCACCCTTTCGCCTTCACTTTCCCGGCTCCCGCTCCCTCTGTCACCCCGCCGTTCGACATCTTCGAGAACCACCATGCCCCCACTTATGCTGACATCCACGAGACTGACGCCGAGATGGAGTGCCTCCTGGGTATTCTTCCCGACCTCTTCGACCTTGATCTACCTGAGATGCCGTCCGACGCGCGCCCCCTCACTCCTGGTCAGAACGACGGTACTCGCTATGGTCTCAAGTACTACGGCATCGGTTTAGGCGATACTTGGGCGTGCCCTGCTGCGCGTGAGGACGAGCCGTTCAGGGTTCGCCCCCGTGATCATGATGGTTGGGGTGGATGGCAGTGGGCTATCGACAAGGGTTGGGGCAATGAGTAAGCTGTCATTGCGACTATGTCTAACACGACTTGAACTGACCCTATATTCGAGTGCGAACGCTAGGCAATGAGTAACGAACATGGCTTGGATGGCGGGGACGTTGGAGTGTGATGAAGGCACGGTCAGAGACTCTCTGGATATCACTTTGACAAAGGAATGGCGGGCGGCGATATGGTGTTGCTGCGGCGTCTTCCTTGTTAGTCGGCATGGAAATCAAGGCTTACATATGATCATGGGTGGAGAATTGTCGTTAGACGGTAACGAAGACATCATCCATCATTACATGAAGCAATGAAGAACATAAAACCCAAGATCTGTTCGCCTTGAACTTACCAAACAAAGCATAGTGATGATGGAGACTGAGAAGGTGATGTTCATAAGGATATTGAATAACAGGTCAAGAAGCCAAGTGTAATCTAAGGACGGTCTTCAACACACCGCACCCCAACGCCCTGACAAAGGTCCGTCCGTGTACTCATGCCGAAATCCTCATCGTCTATCCAGAAGCCATGCGTAGCGCTGCACGCACCACAATTGTTCCTCAATCCGAGTCATAGTCCGTCTGTTGGCTCGATCGCTCGTTATCAAACGTAGCGCCGTACCGACACCGATACCGCACCTGATCAAGAAGAAGGGTTAATATGCGTCTTCAGATTCAGGGGTTGCACACCATGCTGGGGTGTCGCGGTGCCGGAGCCAGCTTGAGGGGTACCCATTCCGGATAGTGGACTTACGGCTCCACTGGGTGGGACGGGGATCTTGATGTCTTCTGGGCTTCCGGGAACCATGGACTCGGGTAGCTCGGGGATCTTGATGCGTTTGGCTACATTGTTGTAGGAGGAGGGTATGATCTGGGAAGGTGTTAGTATACAGATAGAGATAGCAGCGAATATTATCAAATGGACTTACCTCAATGATCTCATCGCGAGGGAACTCGAGCTTAGGTATGTCGGCTGCGTTACATGCCATGAGATATCCATAAAGCACACGAAGGACAGACTCGTGAGCGATGATGAGAAGATCGTTCTCTTCGCGCTCAAGCTCTAGGATGATGGGCTCCATGCGTACGGCAAGATCGTGGTATGATTCTGCGCGCGGGTATCGATGGTGGTACGGGTCCGCTTCGTGCTTCTTCACTTCCTCGGGGAACTCCTGGCGGATCTTGGCTTCTGACATCTTCTCGCATACACCAGGGTTCATCTGGCTCATTTGCGATCGCTGTCTGACACGGTAGCCCATGGAAGCTAGAACCTCTGACGTTTGGACAGTCCTTCGGCGGGTAGAAGTCCAGATCGTCAGGGGTTTCAGCGATGCATCAGTTGCGCCCGACTCAATCAGCTTCTGCTTCTCCTCTTCGCGGTACTTTAGAAGCACTTCGCTCATCTTCTTAGCGTATTCATGACCTGCTGGCGACAGGTCTGCGTCTGCTTTGTACGAGTCCTCCTCTCGCGTAGTTCCTGCCCGAGCAAAGTACGTTTGCCGTGACTTGATGTGGAGATTGAGCAAATAAAAGACGATACGTTGGGAGAGGTATCCGAATGCGCAATTGTTGACTACCACTCGCTCGCCAGCGTTGATCATCTTGATCCAGTGTAGGTCCGGCTCCTCCATAGTCTCGAAATGCGGTATCCGCGCGTTGATGCGCGCTAGATAGTCGTGAACCGCATCCTCGTCTTTCCATCCTTGGTAATCTGGTGAAGAGATCTTGACCCGGCGGACGTTCTCTTGGATGATGCGCTCGTCGGTACAATGTGATTCGATGAAGACTGTCTGGATCCCGTTCTTGGCAAACTCTTTCGCTAAAGATCTACGGCCTTGACTGATTGCATTGACGGCGTCGTAAATAGCCACCTGGCCCTTGTCGTTTTCCAGAAAGTGGTAGATATCCTCACGGCACTTCTTGAGAATCTTGTTACGTAGTAGGACAGATTGCGGCGATGCGTTCAGAAAGAAGTAGTCGTCGGGGACATCGTTATCCGGACCTAGCGTAGCGCGGCGGTAATCGCCAAGATGAAACACGTGCGTCTTGACACCCAGCCACCGGAGGTAGCGGGCTAAGGCAACGGATGTGTGTGTCTTTCCTCGAGCTGGTAGTCCACAGGTGGCGATGACTATGCGACCGGAATGGAAGAGGCGGCCGGACTCTGTGCTATAGAGTTGAGCGGGAGCCATTTCCTCTTTGGTGGGTAAGTCGTGGATTGCGTCGACAAAAGTACTCGACCGCCGCCGGAAGCGGGGTGAGTTGGCGTATATCTCAGCGGTACTGTTCATGATAAGTGAATGTCCTGTTCAGGAGGTGGCCTGCGTTGGTACTCTCGCATCGCTGCGGAAAGTGGGGTCATGGCACTCACAGTAGGGTATCCATAATTGCAAATTCTTCAGGTTGTTGGAAGAGTGTGATGGGAAAGGGAAGAAGTGCAAGATGCACGGGAGGGAAAACGGTCGAAGGTCAATGAAATAGAGTTGCGTTCGGTTCAAGGTCACAGTTCCAAGGTTCCGGCGATGATAGCGTTTGCCGAGAGATGTCAGCAAACAAGGTGCGGCAACCCGTAACAGTCAAGTGCAGCAAGTTCCACGTAACAGTGTCGCAGAAGGGTCTGGAGTCTGGAGGTAGTCAGGCAGTACTTTGCGGGGTTAGGTAGTCAATGATCCCAAAAAGCAATCATGGTATCAACGGGCGGCACGTCCTGGGTACTAGAGATCTGATAAGCTCTAGCGTCACTAGGTCACGTCACGTGATGACTTTAGAATTTCTGTTCGATATCGTCATGCTAGCGAACGCGACCCAACATCGCCCTCCAACCGTTTACTGCCATTTCCATCCCACCTTGTGCAAGCTCTCCCACACCGTAGGGAGTTTTTAGTTTGACCTCGGCACATATTTTCGCCATGGCCACTCCGCTGCAATTCAACCCAGCGCAGGAACAAGCTGTCGCCGACATCCTATCACGCCCTCGCGCCGCCAACACCGGTCCATTCGCACAATTCCTAAATGTATACGATGCGTTCCAAGAGCGGAGAGAGGCATTGGGCCTCAGCAACCCGGGCACAGTCGAGAACATTGCGAGAGAGGTCCAGCGCGATGTCTTCCTGAACAACTCCAGCTTCTCAGGCCTGCGCGCCGAGCTCACCAAGGCCTTCAGCGCCGCTCCTCTATTCCAGGTTGCGCACTCGTTGTCTATGGGATCGCAGGTCATGCCGCCATACTCATACATGGTTCTCTATGGATCACCACGGGTTTGTCGCTCACATCGTCGGCAGCCTTCTCACGCTGACTTTTCAAGGTGTTCATGCAAGGAAACCTCGACAACGAGCTTGCCTTTTCCGGTCGCTTCAACTGGCGCTGGACGTCAGCATTCGTTTCCAAGGCCGCCGTCCAGCTCACATCACAAGGCAACATGGTGTCGCTCGAGAACGACTACACTGGCGCCGACTTCTCCGCTTCGCTGAAGGCTGTCAACCCCTCCATACTCGATGGTGGTATCACCGGCATGCTCATGGCCAGCTACCTCCAGGCCGTCACCCCCAAGCTCTCGCTCGGTATCGATGCTTTCTGGACCCGCCCCGCTATGGCATACCCACCAGAGCTGAACGTCTCGTATGCGGCACGCTACAGGGCTGTCGACTGGATGGCGTGCGGTCAGATCATTCCCGACCGTGGTGTATTGGAGGCTTCATACTGGCGCAGGCTTACAGACAAGGTGGAGACTGGTATCAACTGCAACCTTGCATTCGCTGGAATTGGCCCCGGAGGACCCATGGCCGGACCACAGAAGGAGGGCAACGTCACAATCGGTGCCAAGTACGACTTCCGTCAATCGTCGTACAGGGCGCAGATCGACAACCAGGGCAAGGTCTCGTGTTTGTTGGAGAAGATGATTGCGCCGCCAATCCGCGTAACCTTCTCAGGCGAAATCGACCACAAGAGCGTAAGTCTCGCCAATTCCCAGTTTGATAGCAAATACTGACAAACTCGTAGAATGCCGCCAAGCTTGGTCTGGCCGTTGCGATAGAAGCCGCCGACGAGGCCGTCATGGAACAGCAAGAACAACAGGGCGTCGCAATGTCAGCCGGCTCGATCCCCTTCTAAACGCCTCTCCACACACCCATGTATCGACTATAATACCATGACTCTTCTCTTTGCTGTATTACCACCTTTCTTGGAGCGAGCGTCGTCTGCAAACCCAGCGTCCCCGCTTTCCTGGTCTCATCCACTATCTGCGGATTGATCGCGGTACTGCATGCGCGCGGCTGGGGTGATTTATGAATGTAAAAGGCGTAACGTTGACATCTGATGGGATACGAGCTTTGGTAGACCGGGATCTCGCGAAGCATCTATGTCGCCAGACGTTTGCATGTCGACATGAGACGATGTATTTGTACATATAGTAGCATAGCCAGTGGGCACAAAAAATGAAATGTACAGAAACACATGTGGTTTTTGCAAGATGAATATGTGACGCAATACATTATCGTGGAGTCGAGAAATATAGTACAAATCGTGACGGCGTAAAACTCTCGCCGCTGTATGTACAGGTTCAGCCCGTTCCATGCACCGTCATCCTAATAAAACAGATGTGAAGAGCCCAACGTTTTTAATACTTCAGTCGCTTTCAGTCGAAACGCCAAATCGAAGTTTTTGTCGTCTACAAAGCAGGCTTTGCGCCTGTTGGCTGTCCAGGTACGGGCGCTCCGGGAGCCATGAACTGTCAAAAGTTAGTAAGACGTTGCAAAGCGCTCATCGTAAAACGGCTTCACGTACCTCGTTTTGCGCCCTCTGTGCCTGCAGCTCAGCCCTCTCCTGCTCAACAATCATCTGCTCCTCGCTGTACGCCAATGCCCATGGCACACCGAGCAGCAGCGCACTTGTGCTCACTACCCAGAGAGTCTTGCCGCCCATGTTCAGACCGCTCTTGAACCATGAAGTGATTGTGTTGGCTTTTGAGGAGACGGATCGGCGTGTGCTGGCGGGGATCATGTCTTGTAGGGCGATGATGCGG